GCTCCTGAGCCAAACAGGGGGTTTGGGAGGGTGAGTTGGGGAGGAAGAAGAGCTGGGAGCGGGGAAGGCTGGAGCTATCCCCTCCGCTGCCCCCGGGCTAGGCGCTGCGTCGAGGTGGTGCCTGCTCTGGGTCAAGGCAGCCCCGTTCTTGCTCTCTCTCTCTCTCCTTAAAATCCTTTTGTCCTCGCGGCCAGGGGAGGATAGCGAGGCAGAAGCGGAGATCAACCTCTCCGACTTCCCCTGGTTTCACGGGACTCTGTCGCGGATCAAGGCGGCTCAGCTGGTGCTGTTCGGGGGCGCAAGGAGCCACGGCTTGTTCGTCATCCGGCAGAGCGAAACGCGGCCGGGGGAATACGTGCTGACCTTCAACTTCCAGGGGAAAGCCAAGGTGGGTGCTGCCGACTTCTCAACGAATAGTTCGTGGGATCAGCGCCTGGCCAAGCCCTGCGCTGGGTGCTGTCGCGCGTGGCATCGCTGCCAGGCGGCTCCCGGGAGGGAGGGAGCCCTGGTTGCCCCCGGCTTGCCTGGAGCTGGCTTTTGGCTCTGCTTACGGGGCAGCGGCAGAGCTGCCTGCCTGCTCCAAGGGGAGGGGGTTTGCTTGGGGGATGCAACCGTCCAGAGCCGAAAGGTGTTAGACGGAGCTGAAATCCGGAAGCCGGGCAGGCGGCATGAGCGAGAAGCGCTGGGATGCTGCAGCCAGCTGGGATAGTGAGGAAAGGGACTGGAGACATTCATGTACTGCGTTATCCAGGAGAGACGGTGCGTGTCCCATCCCTGCAGGAGCAAGGACACGATCCCAAGGCACATAAGGGCCTCGTAGGCATAGCCGGGCAGGCGGCATGAGCGAGAAGCGCTGGGATGCTGCAGCCAGCTGGGATAGTGAGGAAAGGGACTGGAGACATTCATGTACTACGTTATCCAGGAGAGACGGTGCGTGTCCCATCCCTGCAGGAGCAAGGACACGATCCCAAGGCACATAAGGGCCTCGTAGGCATGAGCCAGGGAGATGCGGGTGAGCCGGCGGGGGGGCACAGGGCGGGGC